GTTATTTCCGACCTTCAAGAACTTGCACGCAGATTAAGACTTCTGGAATTTTTCCACAATAAAACCACTAACGCAAACGATATCGGTACACAGTTTAAAGAAAAATCCACCTGGTCACCCACAGTCAACAGAGAACCACACTCAGAGAGCTTTATTACTGTAATTGAGAATGAAGTAATTCAAGCCATTAACTCTGACTTAAACTTACGGAATAATCCCTCCTACCGCGAACATGCTGCTCTAATTTCACTGCTCCCCAGTGACACGGCGGTATGTCTGTGGACTTACAACGCTAGAATCCGGGTTTCGATACCCGTGGTGAGCAGAGCATAGATAGCCCATTGTGTAGTACTTGATTTGTAAGAGAAATTATCGTTTCCATCATCTTCATCATTAGCCATTAATAGACTTAAGAATAAGAGTATCACTCAAAGGAGTTTGCAAATAAATAATTATTATAATAAAGTATACCTCCTGTACCTTCGTTAGTGTCCGATGAATTATTAGTTATTATAAAACAATCGCACAAACTTATAATATGTTTGTAGCATATACGCTAGAGTGCTTGATGTAGTGGTAATCAGAGGTGGAATTGGGGTGCACTGGGCCTCCCAATTTTGTCTCGGTAGCGAAGTGCTCCTTTGAATGTAGAATAGAAAATTATATATAATCATCATGGAAAGCCGTTGTTTAATGGTCACTGGTAACATATGAATACGATGTCCCCCCTCCCAATTCAAATATGTTACGCTGCCCATGGTAGTGTTAAATACACTGAGAGAAAAAAAATACATTATTGTTAAAATTAAACATAAAAGATTCAGTTCAATTTTATTCCCGTATTAGATAACACAATAGGTTGAAAAAAAATTAATTCTATTAAAATCAATTTAGTACATGAAAAGAAGACACACAAAAACAAAGACAAATAACAACATGCTTATATACTGCATCTTAAACACAACTAGAAAGTATAGGAACTTATATGTGACAGTATAGAAGAATGTATAACAATATGTCAACTACGCTATACTTCTTATATCCAGAGCCGACGAAGCCTTTCGCCTAATACCAAGGCTCATCAGGCCAGATGGAATACGAAAGACACAGTAGTAATTGAGACATCATTTTATCTTATCAAATTGCATAAACAACAACTGTTATGGTGTGAACTGAATTAAGTTGGTGTAGCCATTGTAGTGTAATTTTTATAAAGTTATATATTTCATATAAGTCATTTATAAATCAGAATCAAGATAAGGATTAATAATACAATATTATTATTATTTTTTAATACCAATTATTTAGTCCGGGGTTCGATTAACTTCACTCATCACTCAAGATAACTGGTGAACCATCAAACTAGCCTCATTAGTCCCAGAGCAAACATGGCATCAACAACAACAACAAAAAAACTACGTTAGTAATTCTTGGAATCTATATGTAAAAGCACAAGAGAGCCCTCAGTGGCACAGTGGTATGTCTGCGGACTTACAATGCTACAATCCGGGTTTCGATACCCGTGGTGGACAGAGCACAGATAGTCCATTATGTAGATTTGTGCTTAATTGCAAACAAACAAACAAAAGCAAAGGAGAATATGTTATGGTATCTCAGCCACCTACAGATCCAATATAGACACATTAGTGTTTGAGACGCTATTTATATTATCTATATTGTTACGTCTCTGTGTTCGTTTGTTAATTTTTCGTAGAAATTCTTTCCGAGAAACTTCAGCATACAATTCTTTCCTAAATAAAACTAGTTTATTCTTTCTCAATTTTCCGCTTTATTTGCCAGTTTTATATATACAAAATCGAGGGCGTCTCGAGCCTTCAGGAACCTTCTAGATACTCATTACGTG